GGGAGGAGGGAGGAGGGAGGAGGGAGGGAGCCCCCCCCAGGAGAGATCCCCTCCCCCTCCCCCCTTCCCCAGCCCGGTCTTCCCCGGCAGCGCCCTCGGGAGATGGCAACCCACCCACTTGGGTCTCGGGCACGACTGCTCTCGGCCGGGGGGGGGGGCTGACCCACCGCCCCAGGGCGTCCGTATTTATTTCTTCCCTTATTTATAGCCTGCCTGCCTGCCTCACCCAGACTATGGATGAAAACGCTGTAAGGAGACACCAGAAGACCAGCGGTGGACAATGCCGCCCCCCCCCCCCCCCCCCACCCGGGGGAGACAATCCCCCCCCCCCCCCCCCGCAGGCAAGGGGCACTACAGACATCGCCCTGCCCTGGAAGCAAGATGGTCCCTGCCAGGCAGCACCCCAGGCCTGTCCCATCACGGAGGCGCCTAAAGCTGCCCTTGGACTAAACGGGGCAGGGGGGACATCTGTCCCTCCAGGTCAGAACTGCCGGCTCAGACTGTCAGCAGCTCTCCTCCGGGGTCTCCGGCCGGCCAAGAACCGCCTCTCACATCCCCTCCTGCCTGGCCCTCCTAACTAGAGAGGCTGGGCCTTGACCCTGGGACAGATTCCTCACACAAAGCAGAGGCTCTGCCCCTGAGCCTCCACACACCCCTCTCACCAAAACACCAAGCCCCCTCCTCACTGACTCACACCACCACCCCCTTGGTCCACCAGGGTCACTGCGGTCTACGCCAACTGGCAGCCGCTCTCCAGGGTCTCCCGCAGAGGTCTGGCCCTTTGAACTGCAGGCACAGTAGGTGCCCTGCCACCAAGCCACGGCCCCGCCCCTCCAATGGCTCCCCCCTTCTACCACAGCCCTTTATAAAAAAGCCCTTCTGGACTTTTCAGCACTCTTCTTTCTAAGAACCTCAGAAGAGCCCTGCTGGGTCAGCCCAGGGAGGGTCCCTCCAGTCCAGCCTCCCGTCTCACACGGGGGCCAGCCAGTCCCTCTGGAGGGCCAGCAACAGGGCAGGGAGGCCGAGGCCTTCCCCTGACAAGAACATCAGAAGAGCCCTGCTGGGTCAGCCCAGGGAGGGTCCCTCCAGTCCAGCCTCCCGTCTCACACGGGGGCCAGCCAGTCCCTCTGGAGGGCCAGCAACAGGGCAGGGAGGCCGAGGCCTTCCCCTGACAAGAACATCAGAAGAGCCCTGCTGGGTCAGCCCAGGGAGGGTCCCTCCAGTCCAGCCTCCCGTCTCACACGGGGGCCAGCCAGTCCCTCTGGAGGGCCAGCAACAGGGCAGGGAGGCCGAGGCCTTCCCCTGACAAGAACATCAGAAGAGCCCTGCTGGGTCAGCCCAGGGAGGGTCCCTCCAGTCCAGCCTCCCGTCTCACACGGGGGCCAGCCAGTCCCTCTGGAGGGCCAGCAACAGGGCAGGGAGGCCGAGGCCTTCCCCTGACAAGAACATCAGAAGAGCCCTGCTGGGTCAGCCCAGGGAGGGTCCCTCCAGTCCAGCCTCCCGTCTCACACGGGGGCCAGCCAGTCCCTCTGGAGGGCCAGCAACAGGGCAGGGAGGCCGAGGCCTTCCCCTGACAAGAACATCAGAAGAGCCCTGCTGGGTCAGCCCAGGGAGGGTCCCTCCAGTCCAGCCTCCCGTCTCACACGGGGGCCAGCCAGTCCCTCTGGAGGGCCAGCAACAGGGCAGGGAGGCCGAGGCCTTCCCCTGACAAGAACATCAGAAGAGCCCTGCTGGGTCAGCCCAGGGAGGGTCCCTCCAGTCCAGCCTCCCGTCTCACACGGGGGCCAGCCAGTCCCTCTGGAGGGCCAGCAACAGGGCAGGGAGGCCGAGGCCTTCCCCTGACAAGAACATCAGAAGAGCCCTGCTGGGTCAGCCCAGGGAGGGTCCCTCCAGTCCAGCCTCCCGTCTCACACGGGGGCCAGCCAGTCCCTCTGGAGGGCCAGCAACAGGGCAGGGAGGCCGAGGCCTTCCCCTGACAAGAACATCAGAAGAGCCCTGCTGGGTCAGACCAGGGAGGGTCCATCTAGTCCAGCATCCCGTCTCATGCAGGGGCCAGCCAGTTCCTCCAGTTCAGCCTCCTGTCACACACACAGTGGCCAGCCAGTTCCCCCTGGAGGGCCAGCAACAGGGCAGAGAGGCCGAGGCCTTCCCCTGAGAAGAACCTCAGAAGCGCCCTGCTGGATCAAACCAGGGAGGGTCCATCTACTCCATCCCCCCATCTCCACTGTAAACCCCTCTCCTCGTGTCTCCCCCACCTTACCTTTCCTTTTTCTCAACTACGACCTCCAAATCCCCAGCCTCCGAGGAAAGGCACTCCCTCATCCTCTCGGCTGCCCCCTTCTGCACTTTCTCCAGCTCGGCAATGTCCTTCTTGAGACAGGAGGACCAACGCTGTACACGGTCTTTCAGAAGAGGCCGCTCCAGAGATCTATAAAGGGGCATTACAATATGGATCATTTTATTCCTAGTCCTTTTCCTAACAATCCCCCGCAGAGAGTTTGCTCCTTTTCTCCACTTCTGCACAGTGCCTCCACATTTCCACTACGACCCCCAGGTCTCATTCAGACTCAGTCTCAGCGAATTCAGGCCCCCGTCAGCATATATCTAAAATTAGGGATTTTGGTTCTAATATGGCCCTACACTTACCTATGTTGAACTTCTAATTCCACATTGTTGCACACCTGGAGCTCTTCACAAGCCACCTTGGTTTTAGAACATAAGAACATAAGAGAAGCCAATGTTGGATCAACCAATGGCCCGTCCAGTTGAACACTCTGTGTCACACAGTGGCCAAAAATACTAGGTGCCATCAGGAGGTCCAGCAGTGGGGCCAGGACACTAGAAGCCCCTCCCACTGTTGCCCCCCTTCCCCCAGCACCAAGAAGACAGAGCCTCACTTGCCCCAGACTGAGAGTTCCTATCCTTACCTTCTGGCTAATGGCCACTGATGGACCTCTGCTCTTAACATAAGGACATAAGAGAAGCCAATGTTGGATCAACCAATGGCCCGTCCAGTTGAACACTCTGTGTCACACAGTGGCCAAAAATACTAGGTGCCATCAGGAGGTCCAGCAGTGGGGCCAGGACACCAGAAGCCCCTCCCACTGTTGCCCCCCCCAAGCACCAAGAGGACAGAACCTCACTTGCCCCAGACTGAGAGTTCCTATCCATACCTTGTGGCTATAGCCACCGACGGACCTTTGCTCTTCACATAAGGACATAAGAGAAGCCAGTGTTGGATCAGGCCAATGGCCCGTCCAGTCCAACACTCTCTGTGTCACACAGTGGCCAAAAATACTAGGTGCCATCAGGAGGTCCAGCAGTGGGGCCAGGACACCAGAAGCCCCTCCCACTGTTGCCCCCACCCCTGAAGCACCAAGAAGACAGAGCATCACTTGCCCCAGACCGAGAGTCCCTCTCTATACCTTGTGGCTAATAGGGGCCACTGATGGACTTCTGTTTTCACGCTCCAGAATAATGTGGTATCCTCTGCAGACTTGGCTTCTCCACTCTTACCCCAGTTCTGAATCCTTTTGGGTTACATGATGGGACTAGTCCCAATACAGCTCTTTGTTGTCCCCCCAACTCTCCCTCCCTTCCGTTGAGAAAATTGTCCCATTGGTCCCTACTCTCTGCTTCCTACCGCTTAACCACGGTAGATGCCATATTCTTGGACATCCATAAGGCTTTGGACAAGGTACCTCACCAGAGGCTCCGTCCTGAGTAAAGTTTGCAGTCATGGGATAAAAGAGGACCTGTCTTCTTGTCCTGTGATTGCTAAGCTTCCTCAGGGGTCTCTAGTGAGGTACCCGTCCAAAAGCCTCATAGAGGTCCAAGGATGTGATTTCTACCAGATCGCTGGCTTAGCAGCCTGCTCAAAGGAACTCCCAAAAGGTGGGCGGGGCAGGACTTCCCTCTGCAGGTGCCCTGCGGGTTCCCCCACGGCAGCAGGCTTTGTCCTTGTGGTGGTGGAAAGCTCTGTCAAGTCACAGCCAACTTGTGGCGACCCCTGCTGGGGTTTCCGAGGCGAGAGATGTTCGGGGGGGGGGTTGGCCATCCCCTGGCTCCGCGTCATGAGGACCCTGGGCTGCCTTGTGGTCTCCCATCCAAAGACTAACCAAGACTGGCTCCGCTCAGCTTCTGAGAGCTGACAAGATCGGGCTCGCCTGGGTCAGGGCGCTTTGTTCCTAAATGTGCTTCATAATTCCCTGGGTAAACCTTCCATTTTTTAAAAGATGCCTTTTCGCCTTTTATGACTTCCTTGATGTAAGTTGTTAACCATGCGGGCATCCTTGTAGATGTGGCAAATACCTCTGGCAACCTGGGAAATGTACTCCGTCTGGACCTCAATTCCTGTGGTTTTAAAGAGCTCTGAAGCGTCTTCTAGTGATTTGGCGCCCTCAAATTTCCCTCGTGGCTTCCTCCAAACTCGGCCTCTCATTTGTGTAAATCAAATGTTTGTTAAATCAAATATGACTGTTATGGGCTTTCGGGGAAACTTTGCATTGACGTGAACACTCAACCCAGTAGGACTGTGGTCACTCGTCCCATTTGGGCAACAGCATGTACAGTCCAAGATCATAGAATTATAGAATCATGGAGTTGGAAGGGACCTCCAGGGTCATCTAGTCCAAACCCCTGCACAAGGCAGGAAATTCACAAATACCTCCCCCTCCACACCTGCAGTGACCACACCGCTGTTCTATGCCCAGAAGATGACAAAAAAAACCCTTGCAGGATCCCTGGCCAAACCGACCCAGAGAATGATGGCTTCCTGACCCCAAAGTGACTGGCCATCAGCATTTCCCTGGGCGTATAAGAAAGGGCCACAAGAGCTAAGCACTGAGGCAACCCTTCCTGCCCTCCCTCTCTCATGATCTGGCTAAATTCACAGAATCCGCATTGCTGTCAGATGTGGCCACCTAGCCTCTGTTTGAAAACCTCCCGAGAAGGAGAGCCCACCACCACCTCCCGAGGAAGCCTCTTCCACTGAGGAACC